ATGTTCTTGCCGCCGTTGGCTGTGTGTGCTGCTGAGGTGATTGCCGCCCTGTGGTGGTGGTGGGGGGCGTCGCAATTGGAGTCTGCGACCGAGCAGCGCAACACGGGCCCTCGAAGTTCCCCGTCCAATCTCGCGTGGTACGCAGACCTGAGCATGCCCTAAAGTGGCACCAGCCAAGGCAGGTGTTGCACTTGACTGATGTCACATTACGGAATATCCTGGTCTGACATACCGTGCAGATTGTAGGGGGAACCAGGAGTTGTTGGCGGCGGCGTGTGGGTGGTGGTGCGGTTGTGTGTGTTATGTGGTCTGTAGTGGCTGTGGTACGGTCTGTGGTGTTATTTTGTTGTTGTGTTGTGGTAACTGTGTGTGGCTGCTGTGTGAGTGTGTGGGGCTGCACGGGCGGACTATGGTTAGCCGTGGAGGCTGCTCTATTTGAGCAACAGGGGGCCACGTACGACGTGGTCCACTGTCTGTGTGTCCGTAGTCCCGAGCAGACCCTGAGGTGAGTCCACCCCTCGCAGGCATTACACTTGACTGAGGTGGAGTTGTGGGCTGTCGTGGGAACGTCATTCTTATTACCCGATTTGAGAATCGGAGAAATAGATGCTACCTTCCAACGGTCAATAAAATCACCGGTCGAAAGGGAAAGGTTAAAGCTTATTTCAACGGTCCACAAAGATATACGCTGCATTTTTTTATTAGAAAAGAAGATAGCCCATCGAGATAACTTTTCATCGACGACTGTAAAGAAGAGATACCATTAATAACATCTAACTTAGATACAGACAGTGAACCAAAATCTACAGCTTGGGAAGAGCCAAAACGGCTCGAATGTGGAATGTGATCTTTATATACATATAGAAGTGGATATACAATACATTTACTTAACAAAACAATAGGTTAGCTGGAGTTGACTGCGGTGAATGAGGTGCAAAGATAAATGAGGAAAGAGTCGATCGCGCAGACACCATTAACCTTTAAATGATCAGCAATGCTTAACCCTTAAAACATATCTAAAAC